GGGGTGCACGTACCCCTTCGGATCCCTACATTTGTATCTTTGTGGTAAATACCCAGTAGTGCAATTGCTGGATCGTAGGGTAGTTCTATTTTCAACTGTTTGAGGAAACTCCACACTGTTTTCCAGAGTGGTTATATGCAACCCTCTTAAAACACATTTTGCCAGTGTCACATTGGATTGAGAAACCCAAATCCAGTGCCACATTGGATTGCAAGTTATCTTTGGAGTGAATTTTATTAGAAATGTGCACTTGCCCAATCAAAAAAGACTGGTATGTAATTCTTCAAACAAAAATTTACCTCACAAAAATCCCTAAAGTTCTGAAAGCATAACTGATAAATCTCATAGTCCTTGTAAAAGCCATAACCATTATTGATCAAAATTGGGTGTTTGCTTATTCAGGAGATATGTGGCTTTAGGATAACCTACTAACTATTGCCTAATTTCAGCCACCCTCTACAAGGTCAGAGAAAGAGTTATGAAAACTACTTTGGAGTCAGTCTTATCAGTCTCCCAGACCCTTGCCCCACATGTTCGGATGGAGAACCTGAAACAACCAGTCCCTGTAGGAGATAGGTCACTGGGACTGGTGGGGGAGGGGAGGACAGTGCCAGCCAATCAGAAGCATGGTCAGTCAGCGTGAAACAATGAGCTTCTGATGAGGGTGTGGCCTGGAAAACGGCTTTTAGACAAAACTGTCATTTTATGGGCCATACACGGACATGGCACTTATGTCTTCAGAATAATGTCACCCAGGCCCCTTTTCTGTTTTCTGCACTCCTGAAAGATCTAGTACCTGATCTAGGCTCTGGCTTTCCCTCAGCCTTGGAAAAAGACGAGGTATGTGGAGTCTCAGTAGGAAGAATGGTTGCAAAGGTAAAGGGTGAGGTCAGCCCTCTGGGAAGAAGACAGGTATTGGAGCTTAGAGGAAAGTGGGAACTCCCTGGGCTAGGTATCCTAGATAGATGTAAATCTCTGTGTCAGTCTTTTAAGTGATGTTAGAAACTTGAAGTCTTAAATGTTGCCTCCTCTTATGTATCCTGGATGCTCTATTTTTCTGGCTTGCCGTCTTTATTTACCTCTGTCCTGCAACTTCTCCCTTGATAGCCTACTTTTTATTGGTCCTCAAATAGCAAATGCCTACCATGTGACGGGGGTGGTAGGAAGATGCTCTGGAGGAAACAAGGACATGTAGAATATGGTCTCTAAGACAAGAGTTTACAATTCACAGGAAGACATAAGCAGATCAATAGATAAGGATGTTTAAATAGAAAATAAGGCATGGGCATTCATAGACACTAAGTGTCCTCATAACTCAGAGGAAAAGTTGCCTTGGCTAGGGTGGTCTGGCAAGCTTTCCTGACACAACATTATCCCTTTAAGTTCAGAGTATCTCCTCTTTGGGCTCTTGTAAAATCTGATTTTATACAGTGGTAACAACTGGATGAAAGCTGAAATCAATTAGAAGTTTCTAGAAGAGCTATTTAGAGAAACCATAATGGATATAATTGATCTTTAATTTCATTTTCATTTTTGGATACTGCTGAGTTTTAAGTAGAATAAACCCACACACTTCTTCCTTCTTTCAGGAAACTCTGTCTTGGTATATCTTTGGGGTTTCATCCGCCTGCTTGGTCTTTCAGTCTTTCAGATATCCTCATTCCTCATTGCTTTCATGCACCCTCAGGGCCTGCTCTGTTCATGCTCTCTTCTTGACTGTGATTGAGTTGGCCAAATAATTGATGACACTACTATCAACATGCAATTTTAGGGCGCCTGGGTGGCTCAGTTGGTTGAGCGACTGCCTTCGGCTCAGGTCATGATCCAGGAGTCCCTGGATCGAGTCCCGCCATCGGGCTCCCTGCTCGGCAGAGAGTCTGCTTCTCCCTCTGACCCTCCCCCCTCTCATGTGCTCTCTCTCTCTCTCTCTCTCATTCTCTCTGTCTCAAATAAATAAAAAAAAAATCTTTAAAAAAAAACATGCAATTTTAGAAGTACTCTAAAATTAAATGCATCTTTTCTCTAGGTCATTAATATCCCCAAGGTGTCATAAAACATATACAAATGGGATGTAGCAAGGTGTGGTAGAAAGAATATGGATGTTCAGATCCCACCAACCTGGGCTTCCCAGCTGTGTGGCCTAAGGCAAATTAATCTCTTTGAACTTCAGTTTCTGTGTCTATAAAATGGGGGGGGTGGCTACCTCACAGTGCTGTTTTGAGGCAACCTATGTAAAATGCTTCACATAAAGAGGTCTCAATAAGTTGAAATGTGCCACAAAGTAAATATTAATCTACTCTTCTAAAATAGAAATTTTCTATTGTTGTTTTATGAGTGTTCATAAGACAAACTCTCAGGTATTCTTTTTAGATGTCTGGGCCTCTTCAGCTCATGGACAAATCATTTTCTTACTCTAGTTTCCCTCATACATTTGTCATCTTAGTGGCCAAATGCATCTACTTTCCCTGCCTAGTAGTCATAAACTTAAAAAAAAAAAAAAAACTGTCCAAGTTCTCAGATCACCTTATTTAAAACAATGGAATCTTAGCAATCATCTTTCCATTAAATGTAAGAATCACTACAACCTTGCAGGCAAGACACCTGTGGTGTGCTCTTCACGAGGAAATCCAGTGCTTCCCAGACTGCCCTGTTGGGGAGTTTACATTGTTAAATTTGCCTCCCAGTGATTGCCAGCCATCAATCCTAGTTCCTCCTTTTGGAGCAACAAAAAATAAATCTAACCCACTTTCCACACAGTGTTCAAACTAAAGCAAGATGGTCTACACTGTGCGTTTGAGGAGGGTGTGGTATTTGCCAGAATTGACAGGCTGGAAGCAGGGTTGCTAGATAAGATGTAATAACTGGGATATATTTATATTTAAAAATTGTTCATTGTTCATTTAAAATTTAAATTTAACTGGATGTCCTATATATTGTGCTTATTCTGGTAGTCTCACAAATGGTAGCCAAAGAAAAAATGGTTGAGAAGTCAGTGAGCAGCAGCAGGAGAGGGACTAGAGCTCCATTCCTGCTCAGTTCTCTTCAATCCTACCTCAGTTCTGTGGCTGCTTAGCACACCTGCACAAGCCTTTTTAGAGCATCCATGCCTGCAGAAACCATACTATTAAGATCATCCATTCTTTGATAAACTGACCCCCTCTACTGAGGAAAAATCTCCAACCTGCCTTTACTCCTCAGCCCTCTTGTTAACTTTATTCTCAATTAGCCACACTCAATCCCTACCTGAGGGAAATAGTAGAGGGATTAGTAGGTGAAAAGCAGGGGTTTGCATTAGACTTTGCACAGGGACCTGTGTCTCCTTGTTTCTTCACAACTTTCACATTTCCAGATATTTGAAGATAACTAGCATTTCACCTGAATGTCCTCATCTCCTGACAACATTTCCAATCTCTCCCATCACTCATGTTCCATTGTTAGTAACCTTCAAATAAAGTGGGCAAAACTAAACCCAATGCTCTGGATCAGATTTGAACACTAATCTGATATACCTTAAGATGGCATCATATCCAAATGGCCAATAAGCATATGAAAAGGTACTTAATTTCATTAGTACCACAAAGTTCCCCACAAGGGAAACAAAGCCACACATACCACCACTCACCTACCAAGATGGCTAAAATTTTGAAAGACTGACAATAGCAAGTGTTGGCCGGGAACAGAGCTTCTGAAGTCTGATATCTTGCTTGTAGGGTATACATTGGTACAACCAGTTTGGAAGACTGGCAGGATCTACTCAAGTTCAATATATGTGTATCCTGTGAACCACCAACTCCACTCCTAAGTAGATGCCCAAGCAAAATGCACACGTGTTTACCAAAACACATGTACAAGAATGTTCTTAGCAGCATTATTTCTGATAGCCTAAAACTGGGAACAACAAATAGGTCAATAGTACAATGGATAAATATTTGTGGTATAATCAGCTGGTGGAATACTAGATAGCACCGAAAAGGAATGTTCTTGATAAACATACAACACGGATGAATATCACAAACATATGAGAAAAATGAAAATAAATAGTATGATTCCATTTATGTCAAGTTTAAAAACACAGGTAAAGATAACATGTGGTGTTAGAAATAAGGAGAAGGGGTTACCTTTGGGAAAAAGTGGGGGGGGGTTGGCGTGCCTGGGCCATGACATGAAAGGAGCTTCTATAGTCCTGGTAGTGTTCTCTTTCTTAATATCAGTAGGAATTACATGGATTGTTCACTTTATAATAATTCATAAAGCTATACACTTATGAATTGTTCATTTTCCTGCATGTTATGCTTTAATAAAAGTGTTTTTTAAAAGACAACATGGAATTTGCAGTAAATCTAGTTTTTCACACCATATGCTGATGCATTTGATTTCGTTAAAATTCTACATATAGCACTTTGCCTTTGTTCTTCTGAAATTTTATTATTATTTCAGTCAGTTAAGATATTTTAAGATCCTGGAGCACCTGGGTGGCTCAGTTGGTTAAGCGTCTGCCCTCAGCTCAAATCAGGATCCCAGGGTCTTGGGATCAAGCCCCACATCAGGCTCCCTACTGAGTGGGGAGTCTGCTTCTCCCTCTCCCTCTGCTGCTCCCCCTGCTTGTACTCTCTCTCTTTCTCAAATAAATAAAATCTTTTTTTTTTTAAAAAAGATATTTTAAGGTCCTGATTCTGTCATTCAGTACATTGGCTTTCTTTCCAATTACATCTTTAAGTCCTCTAGCATGCCCATGGAGGCTTCCCTCTGAGTGGACGATAGAACACGAATCCATATCCTTTAGGTAGGATTGTTAACAATGTTAACAGATAACCATGTTTTTATCACCTATAATTTTGTGTCTTACCCATAAGGTTGTGAGAAATTTGGCTAAATGCGTTGTTAAAGTCAAGATATACTTTACAGCATTCTCTTGATTTAGAAGTTTAATAATTTCAAAAAAGTTAATAACTTTGCTCTTGCCTCTGAATCTATTTTAACTCCTTTTAATCACCTCTTGCTGATCTAAGTGCTCACATTTCAGCAAATATTTGAATTTTCACAAATATTCCAGCTCTGCCTCCCACTGCACACAAGGTAGAATTGCACTTTCACACTTATTTGAAATTGTGTTCACATAATTTTCTTTGGCCAATGTCATGTGAGTAGAAGAGAAATATGTCACTTTTGGGAGGACACTTTAAGAATGAGTCGGCCCCATCAAGTCCTTGTCTTGCTAGCCAGAATGTCCCAGCCTGGATCCCAAAGTGAAGGCAATAATAGAGCAAAACCTCAGACAATCTACAATAGATATGTAGCACAAGTAAGAAATGAACAGGAAGTAAGTCTTCATTATTTCAAGCCACTGTCATTTTGGGGTATTTGTTTATGAAGCAAACCTAGCTTGTACTGACTGAAACATATTTACCAGTCTATGTTTTCTGTAGCCTCATCTTTTGAAATTCAGAAAAGAATGTGACCATCTCCAGTTTTCCAGCTCCTCTTTTGTTCTCAAGATTACATCTGTCCATTCCTTCAGTATCTGTGTATATAGGTTATCTGGGGCTGACTACTTGAATTTGTTTAAAGTGACTTGGTGCTTTATCACTACCTTCTAAGCTTGGAGTTTAATTCTTTCTTAGCAATATTTGTTATACTTTTCATAGTAAAGAAGGCAGAAACTTTGTCCTTATTTCTCTTTTAATAATTTCCTTGATTTTAATAAAGCCTATAACTCCCTCTAAGTTTTCTTAACTTCAGCATTTTTCCTAAGTCTCAGCTTATTCTGGGAATTCAGTCTTCTCCCACCCTTCCTATAAGTCATATAACACTTATCAAATTCACTATCTGAAATTATTTATTTGATTTACATGTTCTCTATTAACTGTTCCTAGTACATGCTGTGGTTTTAATTGAGTTTTTGAATGCCGCCCCACCTTTTTTTTTAACCTTAGGTACATGTCTCTCTATCTTTTGTTCACTTCTTAATATTTGAGTTTGCCAGGGCTTTTCCTTTTAAAGGTTATTCAATACCTAATATTAAGTACTCAGTTTTAGAGGTTTCTATACATTTTGGAGTTTGCTAAATATACTAATGTTTTCCCTTGTTTTGTTTTGTTTTTTAATGTTTTTCTTAAGTCTATGATACATGTTATCTCACTTTTTCCTTCCAATGCTCTCACATACCCCAGTATGACCTGTGTCTGGTTGAAATTACTAACCAGTTTCTCCTTGATGGTCAGGAACAGTTCCTTTTTTAAAAAAAAAAAAAAACTCTCTGATTATCTGTATCACTTATTCCAGGAACTTGGATTGCTCTGAAAATTTTGGGTATGCTATTTCTGTTCACGGTGATAGAGCACGATTTTTACAACACTCAGCATGGACATTTAATTGACCCCAATAAGCTTAAACGAAGGCCTTAGGAAATTCTGGTTTTCTTAGAACTAACTGGGCAATAAATTAAAGTTTCAACATTTCCCTTTTAACTTACAGTTTAAAGCCTGGCACGTGCGTGCACGCGCGCACACACACACACACACACACACCCCTTTGAATGCGTTCCCTCTTGTAATTTAAGACTATACCTTAATACACTTAGTCTCCTGCTTGTATGTGATACTACTTTGCTTCTCATCTTTATATAAACATTCACCCACATAAACTCACATCTACACTTTTTTTTTTAATTTTCAAAAAGAAAGAACAGGTGAGAGTCCAAAAGGGAGGGAGAGAGGAGGATGAACCATGAGGACAGAAGGCCAAGGAGCATAGACTGAGCGAATAGGGCCACTGGCCTCTCTTCAACAGGACTTGTATCCTGAGGGCTCATCCCTTCACGAAAATGGATGGACTCATTCAGCTACTCTCTTTTCACTCCATTCCATTTGTAATGGTGCTCATACATGTCACAGCTTTTGAGGGTTGAAGGCCCAGCTTATGAGGGGGTCTCCATATAGAAAAGTGGCCCTTTTCAAGTGTGACTCAACACTTCAGGCATTATCACCACTCAGTCACTTAAATAAGTAGTCCACAGTTTAGAACAAAGCAAGGGGAGAAAAATAAATAGGAAAGTGAGTAAATGAATATAAGTCAGATTTCCAAAAAAAAGTCAGATTTTCTCCATTCTCAGCTTTTCTTTGTAGAAGGTCTATTTGGGGACTATTTGCTGTGACCATAAATTCCTGAACATTTGCCTTGAACATGAGCACTCGAAGAGAAGAATCACAGGACCGGGCCATCGTCAGAATTGCAGCTCATCTACCAGACCTCATTGTCTATGGAGACTTCTCTCCAGAGCGACCCTCTGTGGATTATTTTGATGGGGTCCTGATGTTTGTTGATATTTCAGGCAAGCACAGAGGGAATCTTCCATGTGGGTGAACTCACAGAGCTTGATTGCAGAGTGGGGTGCCATTTTTGAGCTTTTGCGCTATTACAGCAGATATTCCTATGGAGAAAACAGGAGGGAGGAGGGATAGCCTGCCTACCTGGCCCTTTCATTCTTCCCTTCCCCAGCATGTCCAGTCATGGGCAAACATTTAAGATGCCCCAGTTCTAGGCCTGGAACTTTAGGCTCCATGTCCCTGCCCAACTTCACTGAGTCTAGCTCCCAAGCCCCACGCAATTCCAGGCAAACTTGACCTCAGGAAGTGGTCTCCCCAGGTGTTATTTACATCTTAACAGTAAACTTGTCACCTCTTCAGACGTGTTTCCATTTTATGTGTTTTCATTACCATGGAATGGAAGTTCTACACCAGTTAAAGGGATTGCAGTCATCCCTGTACAGGGTGAGGAAATTTGGAGGAAAGAGGTAGCTGGCATATTTCTCTGACCCCTAAAATAATAAGCATAGATAGCGGAGGCTGCATGTTTGACACTTGACCAGCTGAAGATCATGAAGAAGAAATCTTGCCGGTTCTTAAATGTTAGGGCTCAGTGCTCTCTAGTGAGTTCCTCTTTTCCTGGCTCTGTTTGGTTCCTCCAAGCAGCCAAGGAAATGAGGTGGACATTTATTACAGGTTTTACTGCAATGACTGAGCAGTTCAGCACAGCCATGTACATGGACCGAGGGGCTGAGCAGTTGGTGGAGATCCTCAACCACTACATCAGTGCAATAGTGGAGAGTAAGTGTCCCCCTGGGTTTCTGACTTAAGTATGTTTCATTGATTGTTTTCCCGTATTTTTTGGTTATAACCTGACAGAGTGCTATCTTTGTTTTCCTCATGAAATGTGTAAGAAACCAGTCTTTTTTGAAATACAATACAGTGCAAGTAAAGGAATGTAATCACACCTCACTAATACAGACTATTTGAGGAAAAGAGTGTTTTGTACCCGTTAAAAGACTGAATTAGAGATTACCTTTAAAGAATTTTAGTTTTATTTGATGACTCAAAAAAGTGAGCATTAACATAACCCAAATGTAGTCATTAAGAGAATGCTGTATGAAGGCTCATTCACAGAAACAGAGCATGTACATCATCTAGTTCAATGTGTGCCTTCTACAGTTGAGGAAACACAGTCCGATGGGTATAAGTGACGTGTCTGAGACATCTTTAGTATAAGTTTATTCTCTGAATTGTTGTTCTCTTGACTGATTTTCCATTCCATGGATGAAGAATGAATTCTCATTAGCTTTAAGAAATTGGAGTTTGAGGCGCCTGGGTGGCTCAGTTGGTTAAGCGACTGCCTTCAGCTCAGGTCATGCTCCTGGAGTCCTGGGATCGAGTCCCACATCGGGCTCCCTGCTCAGCAGGGAGTCTGCTTCTCCCTCTGACCCTCTTCCCTCTCGTGCTCTCTGTCTCTCATTCTCTCTCTCTCAAATAAATAAATAAAATCTTTGAAAAAGTTATTAAAAAAAAAGAAATTGGAGTTTGATTTACCTTATTTTCCTTTTTTTCTCAGAAGTGTTGATTTTTGGAGGAGACATCTTAAAATTTGCAGGTATGGGGGGCTCGCTGAGATGGGAGGGGTAAGGAAGGAGTGCCGAGGGGCCTGTGCTCCAACAGAGGCACCTTACTGAAAGCAGTGGTTGGCTTGAGGCATGTTTGAAGAGTAAGTGTCTATAGATTCCAGACAAAACAGACGGATCCCCAGAGCAGCTCAGAAGCCCTCCGGTGTGTCTGTCCCTTCAAGGTGATGCGCTGCTAGCCCTGTGGAAGGTGGAGCGAAGGCAACTGAAAAACATTATCACGGTGGTAATTAAATGTAGCCTCGAGATCCATGGACTGTTTGAGACACAGGAGTCTGAAGAAGGCCTGGATGTCCGAGTCAAGATCGGTAAGCTCGGAGAAAAGAGAGATGCTCCAGCATTCTGGAAATGGGTCCCGACCCCTGAGGCATCTCTCTCCCTAAGAGAAAACACAGAATATAGTGGAACATAGTGGCTCAGCCTGCCCATCATGTCTTGAACTTCGGAATTAGACTAACCAGAAGGAGTTTTGGCTCCCTCAGTTACCAGTTAAGATTTGGGCTAATCCTAATATCTCCCTCGTAGGCTCTTACAAAATGTGAGTTTAAGCAGTAAGTATAGTACCTGGCACATAGTAACCACTCCACAAATGAGTCTTTATTATTACTATTACTGCTATTATTGTCAGGTCTTGCTGCTGTCAGTCATTTGAAAGAACTGTGTATCACGTGTAGTTCATTCGCTCATACGGTTTGTATATATGTTGTATTTTACAACATTCTATCTTCTGTTGCTCTGGTACCAAAACCTTCAGCTCTCAACTTGAAAACAATCAGAGGGCACATTGTTGGGATGGGACCTACCCTTTTTCCCCAACCTTTTCCCCTCTGGCTTTTGCCTGAAATTCAACCCTAAGGGTTTCTTTTTAGTTAAAGCCTCAGTCTCTGATAAAACGCAAATCCTCTCCAGAAGGAATTACTGAAGTTGTTCTCTGTTGCTCTTAAGTACAAATAAATTGAAGAAAGGATAAAATAACTTTGGGGACTAAAAGGGCCATCTAGAGAGAGCAATGTCATAGAAAGGTGAAAGCTAGTAGCCGAGTTTCTAGCTCGAGAGAAAGAGGAGTTTTGGAAGGCCTGGGCCCACAGGGGCGTCTTCCGACACCTCTGTCAAGCTTCAGAAACTACATTCGCTCTGAGGTAGCACAGTCACACCGAGATTCGGGCTGTTCCGAGAACCAGTGCTGCCAGGGACTAACCCAGAACTCCTGGTGCTTGCCTCCTTGCCAGCCCTGGCTGCAGGCCACATCACCATGTTGGTCTTTGGAGATGAAACACGCAGCTTCTTTCTGGTGATCGGGCAGGCGGTGGACGACGTGCGCCTGGCACAGAACATGGCGCAGATGAACGATGTCATTCTGTCCCCAAACTGCTGGCAGCTCTGTGACCGGAGCATGATCGAAATTGAGAGAATTCCAGATCAGAGAGCAGTCAAGGTAGGTGCCATGCTGCCGCTTGCAGAAAGGTACGTCCGTCTGTGCCAGGGGTCCCCCTGTCAGGAAGCCGCTGGGAAGGCCCATGGCGTGCAGCTCCTGGGCTGGAAACTCGGGTGGGACAGCCTGAGTTAGACTTACAAGGCTTTAGTCCAGGAGCCAAGGCCGGGCATTCAAGAGGAGATGATTAGGCTTCCCTGTGCTCACTGAGGATGTGGACTTTGGGTATGGAGGCGTTTGGTGGAGCTAGAGCCCTTGCTTAAGGAACAGGGAGGGTCTCCTGCCTATTCCCTAGGAGCAGAGGGCTGTCGTTTGAGGGCCGCCATCGGCCATCACTTTCACTACTCAACACCCTCCTAACTCAGGGCAAGGGATCACTAAGGGTGAAGATAGGAGGGGAGCAGGGGCAGCCATTCAGTGAGGGAAGACTCCCCACAGCCCTGCCTGGTAGCAAACACTGTGGTGAGGTTGAAGACTGACTATATGCAGAACTGTCCTTGGGCTATGGCCAGTTAGAGAAACTGGACTTTGGGCATACGTAGCAGGGAGGAGAGCTGTGCCACCAGCTGAACCCGGAATGGACTGCACGGCCGACAGGTGGTGGAGATCTGGGTAGCCGCTGGTGGAGGCCAGAGGCCCTCCCACATTGTGCCTCAGTCTACCACCCTCACACCCGCCCACCACTCTCCCTGCAATGCTGCCCAGGCTACATGACCTAGCTGGCTAACAATTCCCTGTTCCCCATCTTCTTCAATCATTCCTTATACCTTTAGAAACTGTTTTAATTCTAATTAACTTTAGACTCACAGAAAAGTTCAAAATTAATACAGAGTCTCCATATATCCCTTACTCAGCTTCCCTGAATGTTAACATCTTTCATAACCAGAGTGCAGTAGTCAAAACCAGAAAATTAACATTGGTACAATACCATTCACTAATTAAAGGCCTTCTTTGGACTTCATCAGTTTCCTACTCAATATCCTCAGTGGAATGTTTCAGGATTCTATCCATTATCTCACATTGCATTTTGTTGTTATTTTTACTTAGTCTCCTGCAATCAGTAGCAATTCTTGAGTTTTCCCTTGTCTTACTTGACCTTGATACTGAATAAGAGTATTGACCATTTTGGTGAATGTCCCTCCATTTGGATTTGCCTGATACTTTCTCATTATTGGACTAAGGTTATTTATATGGGGTGGGAGGCAAGAACACCACAGAACTGAGGTTGTATCATTCTGTGTGTCATACCATGGGGTTCCTAATCTTAGTATGAATCTTATTGCTGGTGATGCTTCTCCAACATTTTTGGGCATCAGCCCCCTTTGTCCTTTTATCCTTATAATATAAGAAAGAAATAATATATAGTTTAACCAGGTTTTATTTACATTAAAATGTTATGAAGGAAAGAAAGAAGAAAGTTCTGAGTGGAAAAGTATGCAGGTGAGCCCCCTGGTGTGGCCTTGTGTGTACACACTAAAGTCTGAGATCTTAAGGACTAATCAGAGATTTTTAATGTGATCACATCCAAATGAAAGATCTTTGTTGTCTAAGTATGCCAGTCTCTGTTTACCATGTCCTGGACATGCAAGAGCATACTCCCTGCCCTTTCTGCTGAGAAATTCTATTCAAAGGACTGGTCAACCCTCAGAATAACCAAAACTTCTCTTTTTTTTCTTTGTTTAGGTTAATTTCTTAAAACCACCTTCTACTTTTAACTTTGATGAGTTTTTCACAAAGTGTATGACTTTCATGAATTATTACCCTTCTGGTGACCACAAAAGTAAGTACACTCCATGGACAAGAGCCTTTGCCTCTACCAGTGGTCGGTAGGGTCTTACCAACACCAAGGGCTCTATTATAAGTGGCAGGCCTCCTCAGTACAGCTCCCAGTCCTCAGCAGCACACAAAGGGGACCTCCTTCCCATTCCTCACGACAGTGATTCCAAGTACAACCCTCCCCAGGCCCTCCATCTCTGTTCTGGCAATGACTCTTCCCTCTTCCCTTCTAAACATGTGCAAGTCTGCCCCATGCTGAAAGGAAAAATAAAACTTCTATGAACCCTACTTTCCCCTCCTAATTTTCACCACCAAAGTTCTCAGAAGAGTAATCTGTATGTCTGTGCCTCCTTCCTCTATCTTCTCATTTATTTATTCACCCAATAAACTTGGGTGAAAATTGCATGTGCATCGGGGAGCATGTGTTCACTTACTCTTCAGTCTTGAGCCCCTGCCATCTAGGTTCTAGCCATTTCTCCTGTCTACTGAGACTGTTGAGGTCAAGGCCACCAATGACCATCAACTTGCCAAAGCAGGTGACCTCTCTTCAGGCCTCATCCTAGCTGGTTGGCCTTAGATTACTCTCTTTTTATGGACACAAGCTTCTCCTCTTTCCTTGGGTTCATGAATATTCTTTCTTAGTTTTGCTTTTACACCTTAAGCCACCAGTTTCCACTGCCTTTGCTTAGTCTCCTTCTCGTTCCTTAAATGTTGGTAATTCTAGGGACCTGTCCTTGACCCCTCTAGTCTTTCCTACTGACCTCTTGGAGATCCATTCTATTCATCCATGCTTGACATTCCTAGGACTCCCAGCAGACTGGGACTAGGATGAGCAAAGAAGGAGCCTAGGGCATGAAATTTAAGGAGGCACTACTCATGGTCTTGCAAGTTGCTTGCTTCACATAAGATCCAGCCCTGCTTGCCAGAATTCAGCCCAGACTTTTGTCATGATTTCTAGACTCATAAAAAAAACTGCCCATGGGTTATCTCTACTGGATGTCAAACAGGTACTCCAACATTAACGTGTTGTTAAAAAATTGTTAAAGACAATTTAAGTGATGCAAACAAACTCGAATGCTTCAAGAAGTGGACAGTCTCCTTTAAGAGACCTGCAAAATGAGGCAGAAGACAAGCAGCTTTTTATAAGATGTACAACAAACAAGGAAGCAGCAAATAGAAAATATCCAACTGCCTGGGGCCACACAGTCAACCTTGTTTGGGCTGAGAAGACAGAGAATTGGCTTGGCATTTGGGGATTGGCTGGCTAGATATACTGCATTTCTGGTCAAGTGGGGCATTTCCAGGGACATGACAGTTCCCGAAGTTTCGGTTTGCTGACGTGGCACCGCAGGCGTGGGCCTAGAAATTGATTTCAACAATGTCTAAACTGAGCTACTTGCCTTTCTCCTGCAATTGTTTCTTCCTCCACACTAGAAACTTCTAGAAGCATTTTTGAATCATTCTCCTTCCTCGTCATCTATGTACAGGTCTTACATATTTCGAACACTACAAAGAGTAGATTATACTGTTACTAAGCTGTAGTATGTAATGGGGCAGGAGGTGGAGCAGGAGGGAAACTGTTGTAGAATTGACCAGGGAAGGCCAAGAACCCAAAAGCTCCAGAGATGGAGAAGGTCCAGTGACACCCTTTGGGCTCTACAGGTAGACCTTACTGGTGTCTTCAATATAGGGCCTCTTCAGGCTTAATTTTGGGCACTGCAGTATCACAATGCAATCCTGATGCTAAGTACCTGGAGTTAGCACAGATTTCATAGGTTAAATTCTCTCCAAGACACCCCACCCCCCCCCAACCACCCCGCTGCAACTTCAGATACCAGCTGCAAGCTCTGGGATTACCAGGCCACCTGTACTTCTGACCAACTGTCTATAAATCTAGGGGTTGCCCCAGTGCTCCCAATAATTTACTAGAATGACTCACAGATCTTCGGGAGATGCTGTGTTCATGATTTTAGTTTTATTGTAAAGGATACAAATCAAGAGACACTTAGGGTAAAGTGTGGAGAGTCTCAAACATGAAGCTTCTGTGTCCTCAGGGCACATCACCCTTCCTGCACATTGCTGTATGATTACCAACAAAAACAGTTCATCCTGGCTTTGGGGTGTTCAGTTTTTATTGGGGTTTTATGTTATTTTAAGATTTTTTATTTATTTATTTGACAGAGACACAGCGAGAGAGGGAACACAAGCAGGGGGAGTGGGAAAGGGAGAGGCAGGCCTCCTGCTGAGCAGAGAGCCAGATGTGGGGCTTGTTTCCAGGACTCTGGGATCATAACCTGAGCTGAAGGGAGCCACCCAACAGATGGAGCCACCCAGGCGCCCCTTATTGGGGTTTTGTTAAGTAGGCATGATTGATTGAATCATTGGCCATGTGATTAAATTCAATCTTCAGCCCCCTTGCCCTCCTCAGAGGTCGGAAGTCAGGCTCATATCACATGGCTCAAAGCCCCAACCCTCTAATCACACGGTTGGTGTTTTTCAGCACAACTGGCCCCATCCTGAGACCTCATTAGCATAAATTCAGCTGTGGTCCAAAGGGCCTACCATGAAGAACAAAGACAATCCCATTATTTGAGAAATTCCAAAGATTTAGAAGTTACTTCCCAGGTACCAGGATCAAGGACCAGCCAGATTCTTTATTTCACTAAAGGCACACATACGTCTCCATAACATTGCCACGACAGTAGCCTAGACCTTTATAATTCCTGCTCCCTTGCCTCTCTCCAGTCTGTTCCGTATCATTTCTTCTTCCTGTTTTTTAAAGATTTATTTATTTATTTGAGAGAGTGGTGCGGGGAGGGACAGAGGGAGAGAATCTTCAAGCGGACTCCCCGCTGAGCACAGAGCCCTGCGCAGGGCTCGATCCCACAACCCAGGAGATCACGACCTGAGCCGAAAACCACGAGTAGGACGCTTATCTGACTGAGCCCCCCAGGCGCCCCCATATCATTTCTTCTTAATCTCCAGTACTCATACGGGGCTCCAGCCAGGCTAGCATCTTCCCCAGTCCTTTAACACACTGTGCTCGTTCTTGACTTTCACTGACATGGTCCCTCTGCCAGGCATGCCCTCCTCAATCCTTCTAGAAATACGCCAGAAGTCATTCAAGATCCGGTAAAATTCTCTAGTTCTCCTGTGAACCCCTTTCTGATTAAACCACCTCATATTGATCACTTCTTCCTCTCTACAATCTATTAGCCCATTTGAGCTTTTCTTTTTCTATTTAACTTTTCCACGCATAGTACATTTGGAAGTCCAGTGAGTAAGTGCCTCCAGGAAAAAGCCTAAGCTTCCTAATTACTTTTTTATTCCCATGTAGTGCATGGTATTTTGAATATACTAGCCTTTGAATATACTCAATAAATGGTTTAAATTGAATTCGCTTCTTAATTTATATCCTTTTCAGGCTCCATTTTTATTTTTCTTCTCATCTTTTTTTGCACTGTTATTATTGTATCCCATGCTGAAAACCTATCGCCACTTTTTCTCCCTTGTTTTTTTATTTTTTTGAGCTCATTCCTTCCACCTCCAATTAGTCTATTCAAGAGTATGGAACTGTCAACCATCATGGTGAAGGGATCCATAGAGACTATGAAACCCCACTGAGTTTTTTTTTCCAGATGAGGAAATGGGGGACCACCAGGGCAGTGAGGTGACTTGTCCAGGGTCACACAATGAGTTGGTATCAAACTGGGGATGAGAAGCCCGGAGATCAGAAGTCTCCTGAATCTTACCCAAGCTGCTCTTTCACCTCTGTCGTCCCCTTCCTTCTGTCTTCCTTTTCTGTTGTCATCCTCGCATCTGTCCATTCACATCCCCTGTGGCAATTGCTTTAGCTCAAGTCTGGAAGTAAAAGTCTCCCCAAGTTCTGAAGTGTGATGACAAGTATAACAGGGTTTTGATCTCCATGCCACTGAATTCTGAAACCTGCAACTTCATAGAACTTCTCAATGGACTTCCTTTGGTTCTCTTTGGCCACGAGGTGTCCCAGAGTCCCCTGACTGGACTGCGAAGACCACCACCCAAGGGAACGGGGACTGGGAGACTCCTATCTCTAGCTCTGCAGAACCACGCTTCCTTTTCTGATCCTGCCCCTCCTTCTGCTCTTTAGACCTCCTGAGGCTTGCATGCATGCTGGAGTCTGACCCTGAGCTGGAGTTGTCCCTACAAAAGTATGTGATGGAAAGCATATTGAAGCAGGTAATTTGCACAGTTTGATTTATTGGCTTTTATTATCAGGGATCTCGGACATCAGGGAAGATCGAGAAAACCAATAGCTGGTAAAATGTTTCATTGAACTAAAAAGAGATGGGGCTGACATTCTCCATGTGTAGGTGACTACAAAATGTGTTCTTCAAATCAGGATGTTTTTAAGAGTTAAAGGAGGCATTATTCATAATTACACTCTGACAACAGGCATAAACTAGGACTGTGTGTTTTATACAACTGGGCAAATGGGAAGTTTTTTCCCCAAGCAAACAAGAACATGTGGTCACCCTTTGTATACCCCACATAGTCAAAAGATCCCAAGTGAATTAACATTGCTACACTGTTTCTCTAAGTCACTCACCTTAGATCTGGAGCTTTGGGAGTTAACAATAAAGACGATTAGAATGCCCAGAACTACCTCCTCCACCCCCTAAAATTTTCCCTTTTTATTCGCTTAGATCTAGGCTTTCTTAAATGTATTAATTCATGTGAATCTCAGCACTCACCATATGCCAGGCATTCTGCTCTCATGTATTTATTCTTCACAATTCTTGCTAGATAGCTTTATCCCCATTTTATATGTGAGAAAACAAAGACCCAGAAGGATACCAGGAACTTTTCTGAGGTTATAAAGTAAGAGATGTAGCTAGGATTTGAACCCTGTTCTGTCTGAATCCTACATTTTTTTTTTTGCGCAGGCTGAACACCTTCCTAATATATGCATGTTTTAATCTTTAATTCCATCAAAATGCAGTTGTGTCCTGGAGGACATCTTAGGCAAGCCTGAACAGTGGGCAGCTGCCTTCCCAGTGTGAGTTGAAGTGAAATCAGAACACACCCCTCCATCTTCAGCCCAGTTTAGAAGGCCTACCTCCAGTATCTGCAATTGTTTGACCCCTCAAGATATGACACATTATGCTGCTTCAGCTGCAACCAGCCAAGAGCAAGGTTTACAGGAAGGGAATGCAAGATAGACTCCATGAGCCACCAAGAAAATTGTGGGTAGAAATGATGAACACCGGGTAAAGAGATACAGCTAAGGGGGCAGAAAGGAGGCAAAAGACAAACCTTTCACACAGTACCAAGACTGCCCCTAAAGAATAGAGATCCTCAGAGATGCAGTGATTGCATTTTTCCAATCAAAGCTCAGGCCACACAGTCCGATGGAATAATTTTTAACTCATTTCTTTGCTAGATTTAAATCTTTAATATTTATTTAATATTAATTTATTTACTGATTTATTGGAGAAGTCAAAGAAAGTCATCACATTGATTAGTTAGAGATTACTAAATCATCTTTTTTTTTTTAAAGATTTTAATTCATTTATTTGAGAGAGAGAGAGAGAGCACAAGGCGGGGGAGGGGGAGAGGGAGAAGCAGACTCCCAGCTGAGCAAGGAGCCTGACACAGGGCTCGATCCCAAGACCCTGGGATCATGACCCTAGCTGAAGGCAGATGCTTAACCGACTGAGCCACCCAGCCGCCCCTATTAAATCATCTTTTATGAAAAGAATAAAATTACCTGAAACCAGGACAGTCCCAGCCAGTTAGGAAGCAGCATGACTGCAGAATTCCCTATGCACAATTCCCTCTTTTGTCTAGAAGATATGTTTTATATTGTCAATGGAGAATCTGATACTTTTGTGCTATTTGGAGAGAAAATGAAATGATTTTCCCCCATTGGTTTGCTTTGCACTTAATTTAACAAAATTCAAGAATGCTGAGAGGCAGGCATGATTTGGGAACGTGCTTCTTTCCTTTCCCTGGGCCTGTTGTGGGCGGGGTGGAGAGAAGAGGGGAGCAGAATGAAATATACCACCCGAGGACGCAGGTGTGAGTCCTAAATGGAATATTGGCCTAGGAGCCTGGAGATCCGGGTTCTGTGTGACCTTGGGAAACTTGTGTAATTGCTCCGTGTCTCAGTTACCTAATCCTTGAAGTGGGGATAATAATGCTGATTTTATTTCATTTGAAGGCAAAGTGGGATAGAATGTGAAAGTATTCTGGATGGTCCCGGGCTGTGAAAATATCAGGTTGGATTACATAACATGCGTTCTTATCCCTAAATTGTAAGAGAGTCAAAAGGGACAGTACTTCTTTCTGTTATTGTCATGGCTCCCACTGGCACTAGGGAGCCAGCAGCTGGGGCAAGGGTGTGGTGTTCATGAGCAAGTATGAATGTTCACACTGGAAGAGATTTTGATAGTGCATTCCATTTCCATCTGCTGAGCTTTGGGCTGACTCTGCCATGTTGCACTTTGTACATTCTGATAACTTCCGCTTTCTGGAGAACCTCAGAAGATTAGTTTCCTCCCAGGGATAAGGTCATGGAGGTGGGGTTGTGACAAAAAATCCACTGCCAAGGACACATGCTAAGGAAAGCTGCTCTCAACTCCACAGATTGATGACAAACAGCTTCGGGGTTATTTGTCTGAGCTTCGCCCAGTGACGATTGTGTTTGTGAACCTGATGTTTAAGGACCAAGACAAGGCAGAAGTCATAGGCTCGGCCATCCAGGATGCCTGTGTGCATATCAATTCTGTCCTGAGGGTCTTCCGAGGCCAAATCAATAAAGTCTTCATGTTTGACAAGGTAAATAGGAACTCAGGGGTGGGAACCTACCAAGAATTTAAGGTTGGCACTCCCACCTATGGACATTGGTGAGAGGAAGAGAAGAGACACTTTAACCTAAAAATATCCATCTTTATTTGTAATTATAGAAACAGCTTATATGGTGGATTTGGCACTTACTGTGTGCCCGGAATTGTTCTCAACCCTTTACCCATATTAACTCATTTCACCCTCAGGACTCCTCTAAGAGGTAGGTGCTGAGACACTGAGACACTGAGACACTGAGACAGGTGAGATTAAGTTTTGCTCGTGATCATCCAGTTAGTGGATAGTGGGCTGGATTCAAACCCCACTAGGCCGCCTCCCCAGGTTCTGCCCTTCAGCCCTACGCTTGACTAGCTCTCCCTGTAGGCACATCTGCAGCCCCACATCTCCTGGAGATTTTAGGTCAGGTGTCTAGTAACCATCACCCCCCAGAAGCCTGTTTCTAATAATCCCCACCTGCCATATCTACACCTCCTTCCCCTTCCAGCTTCGTGGGGTGGGGGTAGGGAGGGAGGCCAAAGCAGGGAGGGAGGCAGGGGGCGGGGGGTGGGGGTGGGGGTTGGCACCTCTAGCTTCTGGGTGTTTTTAATCTGCTCTTAATCAGTTCAGAGAAGAACAGTGTAATTGGCACATTACCACAGAAGTGATAGTGAGCATGGATTCCCCATCTCAAGTGTTTTTGCATCTTTTTGCACTAAATTACTGCCCCACAGTCATTCATTTATTGGGCATTCTATAGAAGGGGGTTACCCTCTAGTCTTTACACAGACCTGAATCAGGGCTTCCTTTCTCCCATCAGGACAGAGCCCGGCACCAACTAGGATCTGACCCTTAGACTCTTTTTGGAGAGGGTTGAAGAAATCAAGGCATTCTTTTTTGCATGTCATCAGGCTATAACATACACAGACTGAAATTTGTAGTCCATTGTCCTTTAATTATTAGGCTCTTCCCTTATAGACAACAGCATCTGACTGAGGTAATTTTTTAAGCGATTGATACTAAGAATGCCAAGCTTCAGAGTTTAAACTCTACCTGGAACAGTTAAAGTCATGCCAAGAAAAACCACTCTCAGTTTAGGTCTTTCTCCCTACGAATAATAACAATATCTAAAAAGAACATTATAGTTTACAAAGTGTTACTGTATATCAAGTTTATATTATATATGCATATGATGTTATATATAAGTTTACAAATATAACATCGTTACAAAAATATATATGTACACACTGTAAAGTATGTATTCTATATAAAGTATGGAATATTTGTAATATACTATGAGAAGTGTATATATACTATAAAGTAGTTTACAAAGTTTGTGTATCTATATATGTATGTATATACATACAAAGTAGCAAAAGCAACCTTGGCAGGTCTATGTTATATCCATTTGCAGACTGAGAAACTGAAGTTCACAGAGTATAGTTGACTTATCCAAGTTTCCACACTTGAGTTTTTTTTAATTTTTTAAAAAATTTTATTATGTTCAGTTAGCCAGTGTATAGTACATCATTAGTTTTTGATGTAGTGTTCAATGATTCATTAGTTGCGTGTAACACCCAGTGCTCATCACAACACATGCCCTCCTTAATACCCATCACCCAGTTACCCCATGCCCCCACCCAAGTTTCCACACTTGTGAAGGGGCCTGAGAACACAGATTTTCTGATTGCAGAGCTGGTTACCTTTTCCACTGCTCTGTGCTGCCTCTCAGAGCTACACTTAACACCTTGTAGCAGAAGATCTTGACCGAAAGGGAAGAGACAGGTGGGTACACACATAGCCCCGTACAACCCATTATCTCTAGAGAAAAGCAAGCCCTCCTCAGGCTCGAGCCCTACTGCTTCCGATGCACTTAGAAATTAGATAAAGTTTACTAAACATAAAATAGGTAGGAGAGAAATCACGATGAAATGTGATCCAGACAGGGAAAGTTGCTACCCACCTTCCACTGGGCCTTCTGGCTGGTCCACTTTAAAGATTGCCATGCACCAGCTGTGTTCACTGACTCTCTCCCTCACAGGGCTGCTCCTTCCTCTGTGTCTTTGGTTTCCCTGGGGAAAAGGCTCCTGATGAGGTCACTCATGCCTTGGAGAGTGCTGTGGATATATTTGACTTCTGCTCTCAGGTTCACAAAATCCAGTGAGTGTTGACCCCGATCCCATCTGGTGATCCCTGAGCTTTTTGTAGTATCTGGGGAGAGAAGACAGGGTCAGGGAACAGGAAGTAAGGAGAGGGCTATCTGGAAGCCCTTCTGTTTGTATTCATTATTCAGGGCCGACCCAGCGCCCGTGCAGTGATAAAGGGACCGTAGAGGCCAAGTACTGAAAGGACACGCTTACAAAGTTAAAATGTAGCAGGTTTGCAAGAAAACCTAATTGGGTTGTCTCTCGATCCTCCGGCTTACTTTTTGGTAGAGGTTGAACCACCAACACCATGTTGGAGACCTGCGTTGATTTTTAATAACCAGGAGATACAATGAGTCCTTGGGCTGGAAATGTATATATTGATATGGCCTCAAGATGATCTACTCACAGTAAAACTGTTGAGATAAGTAAGGTTTACCATCCCCAGCCCTGGCTGCCTGAGAGCCCAGGCCCCCAGGTTCATCTAACCTGAGCACCCCAATGACCCAACACTTAGCTCTACTTAGCTACAAACAGGTATCACCCCCTTGCTCTAAATATTTCCACCATGTCAGCCCCTAGTCATCTATATATTCAGTTATACTCATGTACTAACAAAGTTGGCTTTTGATGCCACATACTACATCTGAGTTACTTCCATTCAAAATAATGACTTTATTCTTTCTAGCAATAACAAAGATAAGTTAAATTGTTTAGAACCACAGCCGCTCTTCATTGAGAGTCTGCTTGGGGTGATGAGAGGTTCTTTTCTAGAAAAATGCCTCAGATGAATACTTAAAAATAGCAGAAAAGCGAACTGATTTATCACTTCTAAGAACTTAGTTCTGCCTCTCAAACTGTCCCTCCTTCACAGCTCTAGGCCCTGCACAGTGGCCCTAAACTCCCCACCGCAGAAGACAGCTACTTGTTGAAAATCCTTTCCCTCCCTCCCTGCCCCGTTCGTTGTCATGCCCCCACCCTCCTCAAGTTCTCCCTGCTCATTATCTTTCCCTTTCGCCTTACAACTGTCTCGCTTTCTTCCGGGCACCAGTACCGTCTCCATCGGTGTGGCCAGTGGGATTGTCTTCTGCGGCATCGTTGGACACTCTGTGAGACATGAGTACACAGGTGTGCTGAGCTAGCTCATCTCGCCGCACCTTGCCACCCAGCTTTGTGGGAGGAAGGGCAAAACTGAGTGAGAAGTGGGCCCTGCCCTCTAAACCTGTAGTCTTCCAGGAGGAACCAAGCCATGTAGCTTTGCCCATTGGCAGCTTGATGCTGGCAAAGTGCGTGTTTCTGGGGCTCTGCATGAGTATCACATATGTAGTTATTCAAGGGGAGCAACGGAGGCTCTAAGCTCATGGAATGAGGCCGGGGGAGGGCCGTTGTAATAATTGCCTGTTATCATTAGAGAGTTACACCTCTTAATTCCCATTAAAAAATCCTAAAGAAAATTAAGAATATTGGCATTCCTGATAAATAATACTAATCTCAAAAGAGAAAGAAATGCTATCTCAAGATTTTGCTGCTTTGACTTCCCTCCTCAACCCTATTACAGTTTAAGATATTCAGAAACAATACATCTGGAATACTGAAATTGTTATGTCTGAAATGGTTGGATATCTGAGATTTTCTTCAAAATAATACAGGGTGGAGAGTAGATGGGAGTGAGAGTGGGGCAGGATTGGCCACACATTTGTGGCTTTTGGGACTAGGTGACAGGTATATGGAGATTCATGATACTATGCTTTCTTGCATGGTCAAATTTGAATAATAAGCAGTTTTTAAAAAGAATATCTTGATCAAAAGAAGATGTTAGTTGAAAAAAAAGGAATATCTTGATCAGAAGTGTTTAAGTTTGTGTTAAAGTACTATATTTAAAACCTAGCTAGTTGTAGTATTAATTGAGGGCTTACTAGCATCCAGGCACTGTTGAAAGTGATGTGCATGAATTGACTCATTAATCTTTATATTTTTTTTAAAAAAGACTTCATTTATTTGACAGAGAGAGAGAGAGCACAAGCAGGGGGAGCAGGAGAGGGAGAAGCAGGCTCCCCGCTGAGCAGGAAGCCCAACATGGGAGGTAGGGCTCCATCCCAGGACCCTGGGATCATGACCTGAGCCAAAGGCAGACGCTTACTGACTGAGCCACCGAGGTGCCCTGACTCATTAATCTTTATAAACTGTCCCCTGAAAGGGATACTGTTATCATCCCCATTCACAGATCAGGAAACGGAAGCATGGGAGTGAAAGTACTAATTTGCCCAAGTAATTTGGTAACATAGTTAGAGGTAGAGCTGGGGAATCGAACCTGCACAGCTTCCTTCAGACGCTGTGCACTACAGTGTATTACCCTTCAAAATACCCACTGAGTCTGTCTTACACACACACCCCTTCCAGCCCTATTTACTCACTCTTAAGAAATCGCCAATGGGGCGCCTGGGTGGCTCAGTCAGTTAAGCATCTGTCTTCGGCTCAGGTCATGACCTCAGTGTCCTGACATTGGGCTCCCTGCTCAGTGGGGAGTCTGCTTCTCCCTCTTCCTCTGCCCCTCCCCCTGCTCAGGCTCTGTCTCTCTCTCTCAAATGAATAAATAAAATCTTAAAAAAAAAGAAATTGCCAAATGAAGGTGATTCATTTTGGAAATGAAATGAAAAGTTGCAATTTTGTGCCTCATTTGGCAGTTTTGTACCTCATTTGAGGGTCAGTGTCCCCCGCCCAAGCTTGTGCTTGTCTGTCTTGTAGCAGAAGACCAGCTACACCTCATCTGCGAGCCCTCAGGCTTATGGCCACCACCAGTACAGAACCCTCTCCATATCCCAGACCCTTTTATCTCCAAGCACATCGTCCCCATCGCCTCCCAGGAGAGGTAGAAACTGTGCCGATAGCTAATCAGGTTCACTCCCTGTATAGTTTGAAATAACCATTGGCAGAATAAGGGTAGCTGAAGGCGGGACTTCTGTGTCATTCATGAGAGGTGAAAGCAGTAAGGAGTGAAAGTGTTCCTTGGGGACAGTATGTTTCCGATTATGTTCTGCTAGTTCAATGGCTGTTTTCTCCCTGGTCTTTGCCTTTCTCCTTTCTGTTTTAGTAATTGGTCAAAAAGTCAACATAGCTGCCAGGATGATGATGTACTACCCAGGGATCGTGACATGTGACTCCGTCACCTACAATGGCAGCAACCTACCAGCCTACTTTTTCAAAGAGCTTCCAAAGAAGGTCATGAAGGGTGTTGCAGATTCTGGACCAGTCTATCAGTGTTTGGGACTTAATGAGAAAGTGTGAGTGTGGGGCATTGATTTTGTGGTATTTTTTAGTAAAGAAGTGGGAAAATTACGATAGCAAAAACCATCGGTCACCATGTCAGATCTGAATCCAACTTACGAAATTAAAATCTATTCCTTCCCCAGAACAAGGCCCAGATTTCAAAATCCTTCATCTTTCTCTATCCTACTGATATTATAGATGGTGCAAGATCCCATTCTACCCTCATTACTGATAATCTGAGGGTGATTCTTCACAGCTTGTGCAAACAGAACAGAGTCCCTTCATTTGAGTATCTATTTGGACCCAGCTGATCACAGTGACCAACCATTAAGTATTTAGTGATCATACCAACTGTGTGCCAGGCATCAATAGGGCTAAAAGAGGATAAGATATTATTCCTCCTGTAGGTCTGTAGTGAAAGATATTCCTCCAAAGCCCAGCTGAGATGTATGGGTATCACCTTGGAACTTAAAATCCTTCAGTGCCTTCCAATCACCTTCATAATGTTCAAATTCCTCGAAATGACATACATGGTAACCCCCTGCCTTTCCAATTTCATCTCCTCCTGTGCCCCCTCCTCTGGGCTGTCTAAATAGATTGCCCTCTCCATCACCCACCCCACCCCGAGTCTACTGGGAAAATCACAGTCAACTTTTGAAATCTATTTCAAGGGATCTTGAATTTATTTGCTCCACAAGGCTGGCTCTGGAACTGCCCAGTCAAGCTCAGACAGCTTAGCTTTTTCCTCCTCTGTGTACCTCTCTGGTACATACCCATCACAATTACTGACCTGATAGGCTTTTCACTTACTACATTATGAGCTCTTGGAGGAGAGTGGCTATTTCTTGCTTGTTTTTATATTCCCAGTGCTTAGCACATAGTGGGCACTCAATAATAATGAATACATGAATGAGTAAATGGAAAGTGGATGGTATTATTCTTAATATTAGCAAGCTAGAATCTAGGTCTTAAAGGTCAGATAAAAGAATCAGGGCTGCAGTTGGTTCAAGGAGTCTTTATCATTCACCTTTGTATTCCCAGGGTGCAGCACGGTACTTGGCATGCGTAGACCATCAATAAAATGCTGTTTGAATATATGAGTGAATAATACTAATTTTTTTGTGGGCCCTTATTAAGTACTAGGCACTCTACCTCAAAATATGTAATTTAGTCTAGTATCAACCATATCAGGTAGAGTCTATTATTATCTCCAGTTTATAAATTTAAAAGCTAAGATTCAGAGATGTTAAATGACTTGTCCACGGTCATAAATCTAGTAAACAATAAAGCCAAGTTTCAAAATGCCACAATAATACTGCATTATACACAGCCACAAAACCTTAGAGGCTTAGTATATACCACAATAAACATTTGTTAATCCCACAAATATGTGGGATTCAATTGATCTTGGCTGGATTTGGCTGATCTTGACTAGGCTTGTTCACATGCCTGGGCTCTACAGGTTGTTGGCTGATCCAGGACGATGTCAGGTGGGATAACTGGGAAGTCTGGCTGACATAACGGGGACAGTTTGGCTCTGTGTGTCTCATCCTCCATCAGACTGGCCCAGGCATGTAGTCATGGGAATATCAGAAGAGCAAGAGAGAGCAAGCCCAATGCCCAAGCATTTTTCAAGCCTCTGTGTCATGTTTGGTAACATCCCACTGGCAAAGTATTCACAAGGCTGAGCCCAGAATGAGCACAGGGCATATATACAGGTAGGGATGAAGAAGAGGGGCCATTAATGCAGTCAGTCTACCACAGAAACCCAGGACTACCCGATCCCAAAGGCTGGCCTCCTCATAGTTTTTCTATACCGTTTCTGCAAATATGAGAGTGTAGAAATCACAAATATGAACAGGGCCTGGTTCCTGCCCTGAAAAGTCACAACTTCATAGGGAAGGCCAACATATACAATATATAAAATTAGCTGTATATTACATGGGAGTGTTGGCATGCCCTGTAACAGAGACATAATAAAACAGTATATTAGTGCAGGCGAGGGAATGATCCATTTGACTAAAAAGGCTCCTTCAAGAGAGAATATTATGCAGTGGGCAAGCGTACGTACCCTGGCCTGGTTATAGATACTGATTCTGTCGGTATCCTCTGTCACTGTCCCCACTACCCATGGGATCTTGAGCAAGTTAAACTCTCTGCACCTCAATTTTCTCATTTGTAAAATGGACATAATAGTACTTTCTTAATGAGGTTTTTGTCAGGAGTAAAGGATGATATATGTAGAGCACGTGAAACTATGCCAGGCACATTGCATGTGCTCACCAAAGGGGGGCCGTTGTTGTTTGAGCACATGGTGGAACCTTTCCAGGATGTGACGCAATATGCCACATCCAAGTCCATGGGTCCCCTCATGGTGTCTGGTTTCCCTAGAAAGGGGTTCAGCTCCACCAATGCAGACTCAACAAGCATTTAGTGAACACTCTACCAGGCACTACATAAGTTGTTTGGACTCTCTATTACCAGGTAAGAACTTCTCTTTTCTCCTCCCCCTGGCATCTGCAACCCTTGAGTAAGGGGATAGATTCTTGTAGGAGAACGAAAAAGGAGACTTTCTGGGAACTAAGAATGAAACACTCTTGCTCTCGATATTTCCCTGTTCTGACTCTAACATCTTTTCTTTTCTTCTCTTCAGCATGTTTGGTATGGCATACCTCATCTGCAACAGAAATGAGGGCTACCCTTTGCTGGGTAGGTAGTGGGCCTTGATTTTTATTTTTTTAAAGATTTTATTTATTTATTTGAGAGAGAGAATGAGAGAGAGAGAGAGCATGAGAGGGGGGAGGGTCAGAGGGGAAGCAGACTCCCTGCTGAGCAGGGAGCCCGATGCGGGACTCGATCCCGGGGCTCGAGGATCATGACCTGAGCCGAAGGCAGTCGCTTAACCAACTGAGCCGCCCGGGTGCCCCTGGGCCCTGATTTTTAAACTCCTTTATTGAACTATAACAAAACATACAGAAAAGTACACCAACGTTACATCTGCATCTTACTGAATTATCACAAAATGAGCATACAACCACCATCCAGGCAAAGAAATAGAAAAATAGAAGGAACCCTCACATACTTTATCCCTCACCCTCTCCCCAAGATGTCTAACACCTTAGATGACTCAGGCCTGTTTGTGATATTCCTATAAGAGAAGTTGTACAATGTATAATTACATATGCCTTCTTTTAATCAACTTTACGTTATGAAATTCCTCCATGGTGCTAGGTATAGTGGTAATTCATTCATTTTCATCGCTATGCAGTATTCCATTTTGTAAACGTGCAACAATTTATTCATTCTGTCATTGTACAACATTGGAGTTGTTTCCAGTTCTTGGTTTTTACGAATAATACTGCCATAAAGATTCTTGTACATGTCTCTTGGTGAACACATGTACGTGTTTCTGTTGAGCATATATGTAGGAGAGAAACTGTCAGGACAAAGGGCACAGCTTTGGTAGGTGATGCCAAATAATTGTCCAAAATGGTTGTATTTATTTATATTCTGACGAACAGTGTTATGAGAGTTCCAGTCACTCTTCACCCTTACCAACAACTTAGTTTTAACAGTCTTCTATAATTTTAATAACTCTGTTGGGTATATAGTCATGTCTCATTGTGATTTCCATTTGAATTCCCCTGATATGGTTGAGCTCCTTTTTCATATATTTTTTGGCCCTTTGGACATCATCTTTTATAAAGCGTCTATACAAATCTTTTGCCTATTTTTCCGTTGGGTTCTATGTTTATTATAGATCTGTTGGAATTTTTTATATATCCTAAAATGGGTACACTCTTGTTTTTCCAGTATGTAACTTTTCCCATTCTGTGCTTGCCTTTTTACTCTGTTTTTTTTTTTTTTTTAATTTTATTTATTTATTTGTCAAAGAGAGAGAGAACACAAGCAGGGGGAGCAGCAGAGAGAGAGAAGGAGAAGCAGGTTCCCCACTGAGCAGGGAGCCTGTTGCGGGGATCGATCCCAGGACCCTGGGATCATGACCTGAGCCGAGAGCAGATGCTTAACCGACTGAGCCACCCAGGCGCCCCAACCTTTTTACTCTGTTAATGATGTACTTAATGAACAGAATATTTTATTCTAATGTAATCCAGCTTATCAGTCTTTTATAGCTAGTGCTTTTGTATACTATTTAGAAATTTTTCTTCACCCAAAAGTCATGAAATTTTTTTTTAGATTCTCTTCCAGAAATTTTGTTTGACCTTTTACATTTAAATCTGTGATCTAAATCTGGCAGTGGCTGTGATGTTTTTGTGATTCGTGGTGACAGGGACCCTATCATAAGAAAGCTAACTCGAGACTAGACTAGACAGGGAAGTAGACATAAAACGAGGGAGGGATATACCCTCTGGGGGAAGAGATCCTCATGAAGATAAGCCTGTGGATTCTGAAGGCAGCCATTTCTAAGAACATCTGAAATTTCCTTCTGTTAGACTTGAACATCCCTAAAAGCAGCATCATAAGTTAAATCCTGGTCCTAACTGTGTTAGGACAGTTAGGAGGAGGCTCTGTCCCACACTCTGGGGGCATGTCGGGACAGAATCCTGATTTCAGCAGAGCCTAAAAGAAGGCAGCTCTTCCAGAACTGTAGAGGGTCGGCGCCCGTGCCCACTTTCGCTGTGTTCAGGTATTTTTCAGAGTCTAATCACTTCTTGTAAATCCAGATCCCCAGACTTCTGAAGGCTGGAAAGGAGAAGGAATGCTCACTCTCGCCCTCCTCTGAGGCTTTACCTCCCAGCCTAGGATATGCTTGTTGTGATAGTAACAGCAAACAGAAGTCCTAACCCCCCCTCTACAAGATCAAGGACTTAATATGGCAGTCGTATGAGAACACACTGGTCACAACAGGCATATGTTCTAGTTGCCTTTTTCTCCGATTCCCCGATTCCATCAGGTAAAGATCAAGCCCACATATCTTTTCCTTAAAGCTCTAGTCAAAAAAGAGACTGTCAGAAGTTAGGACTATAGGAAGTGCCCTTCTTTTACAAGAGTTCCTGCAAATGAAATTTTGTGCTAACCAACTGCATAGATGTCAAAAAACTATAATCAAAAAAGTGGTTTTTTTAAGATCAAAAATACACACAACAGTCCCAGATCTTAGGGCCTTGTTTCGATAGAAACAAGGTGCATGTACTTCAAGTCAAGACAACTAGACTTTATTTTAGAATACAGCTGAAAGACAATCCGTAAGGTCTTACCTGTATGGGCTCCATGTGAATAGGACACAGAGAGCTAGAAGACACGGCTCTGTGGCCACCCAGGCTCTGTCTTCTGAGTTACCTACGTGAGCCTCGGGCCAAAGAAGAGCATGACACATCCACAATATCAAAGTTCAAATGCATTTTCAGAAAGGGAATGTTTCACCCAGAAGTCACATAGTCTGCAGGTTAGTTCTCCCTAAATCGTGCCCAGAAATTTACATCACCAAGTAAACACTTAGCTTCTTTGTATAGAGCATCTAAGCTTAGAGGTATGGTCCTGGTTTTCAATAGACGTTGGATCACACCTGGGTATGTGTTTACTCCATGAATGGACATCTAACATGGGCTCTCAGCAGTGACCAATCCAGCAAAGGAGGAGGAAACCAGCCCTGAGGGGCTCTCTAGCTCCTTCCACAGAAATTGCTCATTCCTTTGAAATGAGAGCTCTGTCAGCTCCTTCTTGTCCATGCAGGTTTCAAAGACTGTGGGCTGAGTTTCAGGTTTCAGTCAGGGCATCCTGTTACATATATTTAAAAACACGTGAGAAAAATAACAGCATCAGGGTTGTAACCACGGTGATGTTTATTTGCTCCTAAGTTTTCCATATTTTTCACAGTGAGCATGTGTTAGTTTTATAATCAGAAAAAGACTATAACTTATTTTTACTAAGAATGTAGGTTGTTCCTAGGAAAAAAATAATCTACACATGATTTCTGAGAGCAAATTGAATGTTCTTATCCCTGATCATGTTTCTAGTGGCCCTGAGAGAAGTATAATTTCTCATTTATAAAGAGCAAGTTTCTTTCACAGAATTAGAAATAAAAATACTTTATAGGAACCCTAACTTTAATACATTTATTTTCCAATGTAATAAACTACAGATTACTTCTAGTGTGTTATAGAAAACAAGAAAAAGGGAAGGAACACAAGGGTCAGGGACAGATAATGCTGGTTTTGTTCTTGGTTGTGTAATCTAAGCAGTTGGCTACACTAAATTTTGGTTTTCTATGCTAAAATTAAATGGACATTATAATGAACATTATAAGAATACTTGCCCTCACAGCTTGTGGGGATCAAACAAAACTGTAAAACTACGTTGTTAACTGGAAAGCTCCAGAGAAAGATTTAAAAATTTTTTTAAAGGGCACAGGATCTCAAGAAAGTTAATGAACAATTCCATGGAAATTCCAAAGGTATTTTTAGAAGTGGTATCACTGTGTGCTTTTTTTTTTTTTGTATCTCTAGATTATTTTATGTTGATTAGGTTTGCTCCCTTTTTAAAAATAAAAACTACAGGACGTGATAAGGAGATCAAATACTTCATGTGTATTATGAAGGAATTTTTGGTGTCCAACTGCAGCCGAGTCCTAATGTACGAAGGATTATCAGGATATGGAAAAAGCCAGATACTTACGGAAATTGAGTATCTGGCCCAAGGTGAGAACCACAGGTGAGTGTCTTGCAATGATCACTTCGTGGGAACCCAGAGAAATGTCTTTAAGAGTTTCATTTATTTTAATGCTCCTCTCCTTTATATTATTTATCATATGCAAACCACCCACAATCTGTCAGTTATTGGGTGCCATGCCCTCTGTACTAAATAAATAATTAATGATAAACATATTGAGCTGAGAAATGAGAAGCTAGGCTGACCCCTGGAGATCCTAATTTAATGCCAGGTGGGGCTTGGATATCAATATTGTAAAGCTTCCTAAGTAATCCCAGTGGCAGTTTGAGAATGCCTGGCACGGATATTGAGAGCAAGGCTAGATGGGCTCTGCAGAACAAACACAGAAATATATCCAGCTCACGGACAGAGAATCACTAGTTCAAACCATTTAGCCCTGGAGTGGGGATGGAGAATGATAGGCCTCTGGATTTTCCTTTGGAAGGTAGAGCTAAGGTACTTCTCTCACACCGTTCTTCTGTTTTCATACGAGAAATGTCACAGGGGCACTCTGGGACAGCCCATGTGGCACCCTAGTGGCAGTGGGCAGGACGGTATTCAATAACAGTGACCAGTGACGGTGACTTAGATGAGGACGATGGTGTCCCATATCCTTTCACCATTGAACCTCAAGGCTTTAAGGGGAAAATGCTTATAAACCATATATTATTGTTACCTGTTTTTCTATTCCTTTTTAATGTCAAGCCTAGGAAAGGCTGGTTCATAAATATCTTTTTAACATTGCTTGGGAGATAATTAATAACCAGAAGACATTTATTCATTCATTCATCCTGTCACTTCTCGAGTACGTACGACATTCCAGGAACTGTTGAGGGCTATATTGGTTTGCTAGAGCTGCTGTAACAAAGTACCACGAACTGGGTGGCTCCATGAACAGAAATTTGTTGTCTCTGAGTTCTGGAGGCTAGGAGTCTGAGATCAAGGTGCCAACTGGGTTGGTTCCTTCTGACGGCTGTGAGGGATGGTCTGTTCCATGCCTTTTCCCCTAGTTTCCAGTGGCTGGCTAACAATCGTTGGTGCTCCTTGGGTTCAAGAAGCATCACCCAATCTCTGCCTTTATCTTTATATAGTGTTCTCCCTGTGCCTTGTCTGTGTCCAAATTTCCCTTTCTTATAAAAACACTAGTGATTTTGGATTAGGGGCCCCCTCTACGCCAGTATGACCTCATCTTAACTTACGTAATTACATCTATAATGACCCTATTCCCAAATAAGATCATATTCTGAGGTACTGGGGGCTAAGACTTCAACATATGAATTTGGGGGGGACATGAGTCAACCCATGACAAGTGCCAATGCCCGGAAGATGAATAATACCTGATCCCTGTCCTCAAAGAGCTCTCACGGAAGAGGAGAGAGAGAGAATAAAAATAGGATGCGGTGAGGACGGTGATGGAGGTGTGCAATTGAGTATTGGGAAGCTATGACAAAGAGAGGTCTGTAACCCAACCTTAAGGCACCAGGGAAGATTTCCAGGAGGCTGCACCTGAGCTGAGATTTGCAGATAAGCAGGAGACGAGGGATTAGATAGGGCTGGGAGGAGCGGTAAGCTGCCAGGCTGGGGCGACAGCTCTGGGTGTGCAGGGAACTCTCACTAGTTTGTTGGTGGAGGGTAGATGGCTAGGCAGAGTGGCAAGATATGATATAATGAGACCTGGGAAAGTCTGGTATGGGACGTAAAAGAAGTCTAGACCTTTCGACAGTGGGAGCCACTAAAAACTTGTAAATAGGAGAGGATTTGCATCTATCCAGATATATCAGGCCTCTATAAAGGCGATGCACTGAATCATGGTGCTAGACAGGGGGAGTAGCATGTTCCTCAGCAGTGTGGGTGAGAGTCTGAGGGCTTGGGGCAAGGTGGTAGGGGTGGGACTACAGAAGAGGACATAGCAAGGGTCAATTAGGAGGGCTCGGGGACATAGAGGAATGACAGAGTGTATCTGAAGCAGGAGTAAAGAACAGCTTCCAGATAGTTTGGGAAATTGCTGTTGTAACAACTGAATAGGAAGAGCCAGAGCTTTCCTTCAGCCTTTATTATTTTCAAAAAAATATATTTAAGAACTCTTTCTGCTTCTCTGCTTTCTTATAAACAGGACTATTGCTATCGCATTGACTAAGATCAGCTTCCATCAGAATTTCTATACCATCCAGATACTCATGGCCAGTGTCCTAGGTCTGGATACTTGTAAACATTATAAAGAACGACAGACCAACCTTCAAAATAAAGTCAAGACTCTGTTGGATGAGAAGTTCCACTGTCTCCTGAATGACATCTTCCATGTCCAGGTAAGTAGCTAGATTGTGCCTCTGCAGGGAAGAGTGACGGGGTACCTGCAGCAGCTCCTGCCTGAGGTTGGATGACTTAGCATCTCTTTGCCATTTATTATCTTTCTCTTTTCTCATGTGGAGAATCTGGGTGATGAGGAAGTGGCTCCCAATCCTCCTTGAATGAGCTTCTACCTTCCTGAGACATTGGAGGTATCTAGAAACACCATACTGGAGAAAATCCAAACGGACACCTGCTGATTCATTTTTTTCCCACCTTTCCATCAGAGCTATCCTGTAGTAGCTGGTGCCAGGCACAGAGTCCCTCTGCTCCTGCAGGTGACTGCCGGGGCAAAGACAGAGTATGCCCCAGTACATCCTGTATCTATTAGGTTCACTGACATAGGGTGACACAGCTGGAAGGGACATTATGAACCATCTAACACATGAGGATTTGAAGGCACAGAATGGTAAAGTGATTTGCCCAAAGTCACATAGCTAGTAGCTCCCTTTGCTATTTTCCCAGACTCAATATTCTCATAATTCTTTATACAGTTCCCTATTTCACGAGAGGTTTCCAAGATGACCACCTTAAAAAAGCAAAAGCAGTTGGAAGCATTGTTTATGAAGATCTTGGAGCAAGTAAGAGCATCTGTGGGTCTAAAGTAATGGGGGAGGGAAAGGGGAGGTAGCCCAAGGGGTTCAGACGCCACTGGCAAGAAGCTTTGAAGTGTATGAAAGCTTTATCCTAACACCTCTTGCATCTCCTTCCTCCTTCCTTCCAAACCTCAACTCAAGAGTCTGTTCAGAATTTAGCTGTGCTTGAAAGGAGTCCCTTTAACATTACTCCTGGGGGTTTGGCCTCTCCTTAAAACCAGCCCTCCCTCCTTCTCCCTCTGCCTGAGAGGCAGTATATCCAAATGGTTATGGATGTAGGCTCCATAGTCAGACTACCAACATCTGAACCCTTAGGCCTATCACTTGCTACCTGGGTTACTTTGAGCAAGTGACTTAACTTGTCTATGCTTTTGTTTTGTCATCCATAAAACAGGGAAATAGTCGTACCTGGCTCCCAGAGTTGTGTAAAACACACTTAGAACAGTGCCTCTTTATTAGAAACACTCCCCCTATCTTACTTCTCTCTCTGAGTAATCTCATGACAATCCACTATATGTTGACAATCACCATATTTATATTCCAGTCCTCACCTCTCTCATAAGCACCAGAATCATATTTCCAAGAACCTTCCATATATAACACGTGGATGTAGTAACTCACATTCAGATCAGTGTCTAATACTAAATTTTCTTTTTCCTACTGCAATGGCCCCTTCTTCCTCATTCTGCTCCTTGATTTAGTTAATGGCAGATTCATTCAAGCTTCATTTAAAGTTGTCTTTGTTCCCCATCCTCATCAGTTGCCACTTGTACCGCGTCTACTGAGTTGTCAAGTCCTACCATTTCTCCCGTGGGTGGCCTCTGCCATGTCTCTGGCCTCTGTTCCTTGCTGTACTTCTCTCTCTCCTGGACTATTTCCATGGCTTCCCGATGAATCTCTGTGCCTCATACCTCTCCACTCCAGCTCATCCTCCATATAACTGCCAGAACACAGGCAGATTGCACCAACCCATGCTTTCTACTATCCAAATAATTCCCAGGGCTAATGACATAAAAGCCAAAAGCTTTTGTTGTTGTTGTTGTTGTTGTTGTTGTTGTTGTTAACCTGGAGAAATGCTATTCATCCTTCAGTGTCACTTTGGCTCAGTCGGTTAAGCGTCTGCCTTCAGCTCAGGTCATGATCCCAGGGTCCTGGGATCGAGTGCCACATCGGGCTCCTTGCTCGGCAGGGAGCCTGCTTCTCCCTCTGCCTCTGCCTCTCTCTCTCTCTGTCTCTCATGAATAAATGGATAAAATCTTAAAAAAAAACCTCCCCAAAGCACTAGGTATGACTAGTTCTTCTTCCAATCTGTTTCTGTAGCACTTTGAACACCTTTCTTATGATATTTACCACACACTATGTCAGTTTGTTCCTTATATGTGTGTCTCTCCCCCTTAGGAGATGGTGAGTTTCTTAAGGGCAGGGAGCCTGATTCATTTTTATATTACCATTGAGCAGCTCAGCTTCTGGTACATTAATAAATGATCAATTCAAGTTTGTGGCATTGTCTTAAGTTTATGATATGACTTTCCCCTTCTCCACTTGGCAAGGCAATATGATTAATTTCAAAATGTCAGACTTTGAACTGTTTGTGTTACAAGTATCCAGAAAGCTTCTTTAAAAAACATGGATTTACAAACAGAAAAGGAGACTCTTAAATACGGAGAACAAAATGATGGTTGGCAGAGGGCAGGTGGATGGGGGCTGGGAGAAATAGATAAGGGGATTAAGAGTACACTTATCTTGATGAAGACTAAGAAATGTATGGAATTGCTGGATCATTAGATTGTATACCTGAAACTAATATAACACTGTATGTTAATTATACTTGGATTAAAAAAAAAAAAAAACCTCTGTAGAAAATGAAAAAAACAAAAAACTATCGGGGCACCTGGGTGGCTCAGTGGTTAAGCGTCTGCCTTTGGTTCAAGTCATGATCCCAGGGTCCTGGGATCAAGCCCCACATCGGGCTCCCTGCTCCACGGGAAGC